GGCTGATCTTCCTCAAAAAAAAAAAAAAAAAAGAAAATTTGATTCTTTGGATCAGAAGTCACAAACTCAAATAGCCATACAGGCCTGGTAGGTGGTATAAATAAGTTAAGAGGGCCTGTGTGAGGGTAAAATAACTAATGTCACAAGGACTGTAGTGAACTAAAGAGCACAAGCCCTGTCTAAAGATATTCAAAAAAGTATTTTAAATCAGTGTGGAAGTCAAACAAAGCGAATGCATAGACTAAATCTAGCCACAACCCATTCATTTTTGACTTCTTCTTGGATAGTACACTCAACACTAAAGCACAGGCATGGGTAGGAATGGGGAGCACTTCTCTCCCAATGAGTAACAGGTCTGATATTAGTCTGCTTTTCAAATGCCAGCAATCTCTGACATATCCTTCCAGAAAGATAATATGATAAATTATATGCCAGCATCTTTTTAAATAATAAAGCAATGTGGCATTGTACATCCCACTCCAATCTCATTCACTTTAATTAACAAAAATATTAAAAAAATTTTTAAGCCAAACAAAATTCTTTTGTGAACAGAAATCTCCCAAAAATAATGGCAAAGTTACACAACAGTGTGAAAAGTAGATTTCAGAGTTTTATTTCTTCCCCTAAGTGTAGTGTTACATATTGATTTTGAGGTTTCCACATGGCACATATTTAATTAGACCTCAATATTTCTTGGGAAAATGTCTCACACTGGTGTTTACACACTGAGAATGAAGTAGGCAACAGCTTTCAGAAATAAGGCCAGGCTGCCATAAGATCTATACTTTCCATGATGGCGGCCAGAGAAAGAATTAGCTATAGGTCACAAAGAATATGCAAACTGGGAACCTGCAGGCAAAATTTGACCCTCACACACACTTTGTTTGGTCCACACAGTGTTTCAAAAAACTTTGAGGCGACATTAAAAATGGGAAGATTTTATATAAAAAATCTTTTAACCAATATGAACACCTGGAAACATTGACCCTTCATTCTTGCATGGTCAAAGTATGCTGGAGGCAAAGACTGGCTGGCTGATGCCCTCGGGTTGGGTGTGCTATGCCCTCTGTGTTTCCAAGGCTGACCACTCCTGTTGTCTCCTGGATACTGGGCCTGAATCACAGGCGCCACTTGTCACCCTTCTTGCTGTTTTTCAACTTCTATTATTTAAGATACTTGCCTATTCCTTGAAGGCACATCAATTTCACCTACTGAAGGCCAGGATTCCCAGAAGATTATGCACCGAAGACAGGGCTTTCTCAAACTGAGAACAAAGCTAACGGATTTAGTTGGTCCCAATAGGGAAAAAAAATTGTCCAACAGTCTGCTGGAGTTAGAATATCACTGTTTAGTTTGAGTGCATCTCAAACTTTTCCAGCTTTTGGGTCTTTTTAGTTGAAATAAAGGAAAAAGAGAATTAACTACCAACTGAATTCCATTGAAATCTTTTATTGATGAGATGTCAGAATTTTACAGATAATTTTCTTTTGCCTTAGACATTTTCTCACAATGAACCATTATTTTTACAAATGTACTGATGACCTGTGTTCCCTATATACAATTTTTGGAAAATGTTCATAAATATTCCAGCTCTCTATCCATATCCAGATCCAGAAAATACTGATCTTAAAACTTTTTTCTTTTGAAGCTATATGGTATACACTGGCTTGGAGATGTCCAGTAGGAAAGAATCCTGCTTAATTTTGTTTGACTCAGTTTTCTAATGGTATTTATTTGCAACAAAAATTTTTTTGTACTTAAAATATCTGTAAATACTCCACTAAATTAGTTTTCCCTAAAGAATACTTTGAGGGTTCCATCATATATCATCAGGATACAAGGACTCTTCTAAAACAGCCATGGGCTATAAAGGCAATAAATTTATAGTTTGTATAGAGAGTATGGAGAGAAATTGCTGTAGATAATATGAGACAATATATTAAAATTGTTAAATGTAGAGGTGGGTTTAGTTGCTGAATAGCCACTTTGTGGCTTGCTTTCTACCCAAGCTTCATGTAAAATAGGAATCACCATCACTAACTCTGGAATTATTGAGAGGACTAAGTGAGATAATACATGTAAGATGTTCACCACAAGGCCTGGCACTCGATTGTTGTTATTAATGAAACTATTATTATCAATAAAAGACAGTCTTACAACCAATTCAAGAATACTGAGAAAGGAATCATCTTAAAAGCTAATCACATTTTAACTCTTCCATATCTAAAACAACTTTTGAGGAGCTATTGATAACATCTCAAAGGCTTGGTACGGTACCTTCAGCATTTTGTCTCGCCCCCATCATCACCCCAACAGCAGGACTCATTATAACACTTGGGCTTTTTTTCTGACTTCTTTAAGGAGACGCAGAGACATCTCCACTATAAATACACATCCCTCCCTTCTAACTGCCTGCATTTCCTCTGTAGGCCCAAGACAGTGGTTCTCAACTGGAGTGCACAGAAATATCAACAGATAAGATTATTCAAAATTCAGATTTCCAAGGAGTCACACCCAGAGTTAATAATTTGGTAGATTGAAGGCAAGCCGTAGAAGCTGAATCTTTAAGAAGAGAACCACTGATGCAAATGACCACAGATTCTAGCAAACATTGATGTTTGTTTCATAATATGTACTTGTTTTGTTATCATTCCCTGGTGTAAACATTCATATTTCCTACATGAAGTACAAAAAGAAATCAGGATTAAACCTCCCCATGGACTATAGCTTATCATTGTTAAAGGACTAAAATGTCTCATTAAGTATAATTTTTATTGATGAGCAAATTAAAAACTCTTTGAAAAGGTAAGTATTTAAGATTTTGCCTCAGAAGATAGAAGAGAGATATTTTTTAAAAGAATCCAGGAAGGCGTTTTATTTATTTATTTGTTTGTTTGTTTATTTATTTTTGTGGAGGAAGATTTACCCTGAGCTAACATCTGTGCCAATCTTCCTCTATTTTGTATGTGGGTCACTGCGACAGCATAGCCGCCAATGAGTGGTGTATGTCCATGCCTGGGAACTGAACCCAGGCTGCTGAAGCAGAGCACACTGAACTTAACCACTAGGTCATGAGGTGGCCCCAAGGAGGGCATTTAAATAAGATAACTAAGATAACTTTGTCTCTAATGATATTTTACAAACCATTAATTTCAGAAATTATATTTCTCAAGAGAAAAATAAAATTACCTCTCATGGTTAAAATGACAGAAGCCTTTAAAGTGTTTCAAATCTATGAATGCATATGAGCATGTTTTTCTTCGGCATTTACTAGATCTTCTGAGTTCTTATGAAGATCAGGTTCTCCTAAAAAACAAGCAAACAAATAAAAACAAAATAGGCCTGTGAAAAAACCGAATAAGCTCAGAAAACTGAAGCAATTGGTAGAATGTTGAAGATTGGATTTTATAGTGGATTTTGTGGCACATTTCTTCAATGGTAGCCAAAGGTTTTCTTTTCAGCCTGTGGATTTATAGAGTATAACAAGTCATCTCCTGGTGGTTATACAACTTTGTGAAGTTGCAATTTAATCTGGGAATACACAAATGAAACAGATGAGACATGTTTAAACATCTATTAAATCAAATGTAAAAATTATGCATGTTTTTCCTGAATATTTTTAATTGCAACAAATTCTTTTAAACAAACGCTCTAGTGATCAGTGTCTTTTACCACACATTGCTTAGTTGTTATGAATTTAAAACAAACGAGTATAGTAGAATAGTAATTTTTAAGATAAGGCATAATCTGCCAAAACAAGCTAATGGAATTTATAATCTTAGAATCACTCACCTTCTATATAAACCTTGAAGAAAAAAAAAGAACATGAGCATGGAAAATGTTCCAACATTTCTAGAGAGGTTGCAGAGAACCTATCAAAAGTAGAAATATAAAGCAAATTGTACAGATAAAAAAGTCTTACTGCATTAGAAAGTAAATAAAATTAGCAGAAATTAATTTTGGAGTCAATACTCAAAATATCTTGATATTTCAGGAAACACTCACATATGATGGAATGTTCTTTCTGTCTGAAATTTGGTTAAAAATATATTAACAGTTAAACTTTGCACCAATTAACTTTGAGATGTTTCCTTCAACATATATTGTAAGACTGTGTTGTCTCAGTTGCAACAGATTTTATATTGAGTTTATAAAATTAGTGAACATATAAAACTGATGGAGTGTTATCACAAAGCAAAATTATTTTGTCTCTCACTTTCTCTTTAAAATATATTCAATGGTGGAAACCTATCTTCTGTCCCAGAATCAAAATTTCAGGTAATATCATGACTTTTCCAATCATTCTTAGATAATAAAAACATTGTGTGATCACGATAAGTTGCCAAAGTCTCAACTCAGACATTAGAAGTCTGAGTCACATATAATACAGATCAATCTTAAAACAAAGATAAGATTTCTTTCCAACCTTGAGCTTACGGCAGAGCCCAGAAATGGTGTGTCTGGGCCATGGTTGATGTTTCTTTCATTTCTTATTTACCCTCCCCCAACTGGCTACCTTGGACTCCTGAGCTGGAACAAGAGAGAGAAGAGGGCTGAGAGAAGCAGCAAAGTTCCTACTCGATTAACATCACTGTAGGATGGCTTTGCACTCACTAGATCTGGCAGGTGTTTAGAGCTGATTCTTCTGTGAACACATTCATCAGCCCGTCAGGGACTTCTTGCCAAGCACCATGGCTGGAGACTTCTCACCACCTTGGTATGGACACAGGAAACTCTGGTTCCTTTGCAATGTCCACAGCCCCTGGAAATTTGTTGGTACATCTCCAGCTTCTGTCTGCTGAGGTCCTATCACCCTTCCAAATATGGGTGAGCCACATTTGGTTCACATAAAACACTCGTAAGGCATTTGTTTCCATAAAGTATTTGAGCAAAGGCTGCAACCTACACAACCTCCTCTCCTTTGGCTCATCTGTCATCATCTAACCCTTTAGATCTCTCATGTAAGAACTAGACTCCATTCCCAGTATCCCCTTAACTTCAAGCCCCCCAAGGGTCCTGGTGAAGCTCTCTTCCCTTGATTTCAGATGAAGAGGGAAGCATTTCTATATCTTTCCTGATAGCAGAGAGCTCATTAAAGAAGTCTTCCTCACAAATCCTTTTTCAACCATCAGTAACATGACCCTTTCATCTGTTTGAGTTGGGTGAGAGTTATAAGCATCCTATAATTGGCTTTTGAATCTTCTTTGAAATTCTTATCTCACAAGTCAATTTGTTTCCAACATTTATCATCTTAGACCTGCAGCTTAAACTTCTGATTTAATATCCTGTTACTTACGACTAGATTAGAACAGAACAAAACAGACTAGAATAGAACAGAACAGAACAGAGTGGAAATAATAGACTGAATTAAAAGAAAGGAATATAAGTAATTAATTCTCCGGTTCTCAAAATTTTTGAGAGGACGTTTTGCAATGAGCAAAGCACACTGAGGTCCACACCACCAAATGCTCTTGTATCTAGTGGATAAAGAACTCACCAGTAACAAAACAGTGGAGAAGAACAAAATTATCAAATGGTAACAATGTAGCAATTCCAAAAAAATAAATCCCAAAATGAGACATAGATTACATCCAAGAGTAACTGTACATATGTGATTAGAAAAGCAGCAATTAAAAATTGTGACCAACTCAAGATAAGAGTTTTGCAGCACTGAAAACAAAGTGTTTTCCTTGAAAACTGTAAAATTCCAGATGTTTTCAGGGGCACATACACAACACTGCCAAGCAATTGCATGGCAGCCAGATTGCATAGGAAAATACTGAATTAGAGACCTCAGCAAATTCAAATCACATTACTTTTACTTAATAACAATTAAGTTATTGTTGTTGTAGTTGCCTTTACAATTGTAGTTGTAGAACACTTACAATTAATTTGGATAATACTACTTGGAAGTAACCCTTAGTCTTTCATAAAAAAGTGAGTCATGTCATTCTGACATATCATTCTACCAGAAAAGAAGAAGTGATTTGCATTTTTGCATCCATTAAAAATCCTCTTAGATGCTCTTCATGGCCCCAAAATGGTCTATGTAAAAGACCTTGAGAAACATCCATATTGCCCAAGGTTCCAAACATTTTTGAATCATGGGCTCCTCTTTCAGATTGGTGAAACCTATGGCCTTCTCGAAATAAAATTCATTAATAAATAAAGTAAATACATAGAATTACAAAGGATTTCACTTATCTGAAAATATAATTATCAACATATTTAGGTAATCCTAATGATGTGACATAGTAATATATGTCTTTATTAAGGCATTAAATAACAAGGTTTAGCTGCAGGTCTATCATCCATGTAATTGTGAAGTAAAATGATATCAAATGACACTTCAAGGTCTCTCCATGAATTTAGATATGTTATGAAAATATCTATGATTTCTATTGGTGACAAACACAAATACCACAAATGTTACTCTGTGTACTGTTGCCTATGAATGAAGGAAATCCAAAATTTCAGTTAAAGGTTAGTAAAAATCACTCTTTCAAGTGTGTAGACCCCATCAGTATAACCCTGAGTTAAAACCTTTGATCTAGTCTACCTTCATTTTACAGGTAAGAAACAGGCCCAGAATAATCAAGTGATTTCCTCCAGTGCAGACCACAAACAGACAACCTGAAGTCAAAATGATTGGCTTTAATTCATTGCTATTTCAACAAGACCAGTAAAGTGACCTTGCAATGCCATTTTACTGAAGAGACTTGCAAGCTCACGTACATAGCAAGCTACCGCTTAGGGATAAATGCAATGGGTCTGTTCAAAGCAAGTGCACGGAAGCATGCTTGACAGCCCAGAAAAAGGTTGTGAAGGTAAGGGACCTCAGGTAATTCTGTTCATCCCAAAGAGCTCTGAGGTGTTCATCTAAACCAATTTCAAATGTTAAAACTTGAATAAAGTAATTTGTAAAATGATGGAAACATTGTGGATTTGCTTTATAAACAAAGTCTAAATTTGGTGGCGGCTAGGGAGGGGATAGGGGTCGTAGGAGAGACAGACCTGCCAAAACAATCAGAAATCCTCTAAATGTAGCTAATCTAGGCTCTTAGGCTGCAGTCTGAGCTATTATAATATCAGAATCATAATATGTTAGTTTCCTAGATGATACAAATAGTACTTGGAGGGAATAATACAAGGCAGACTATCAAGAGGATGTTAGAGACGCCAGTTGCCCAGTTATGGTCTTGCGTAACTATTATTTGAAAAATAATCTGTTAGGATAAATTATTATACAATTGAAAATACAACAATAATAATCAATACCTCGTGAACAACTACTAGGTGGCAGGCACTATTTTAAGTGCTTCACTCATCTTAATTACCAGAATCCTCACAGCAAACCTAGGTGGTGGGCTTTAACAATTGCAGAAACTGAGACATAGCTTGACATCCACCCAAAGTTTCAAAACTGTCAAGTGGCTAGATCGCTCTGACAAAGTCTAACCAGACTCTTGACCCCTAGTTCCACAGTGCCCAAACCACGATCACGTGCACGCCACCTTCACCATTTCTGCCGTATCTCTATGCCACCTATCCTCTTAGTTACCTAATATTTTTCTTTAAACAGACTTTAAATCTACTCTCTTTTAAAAAATTAGTTTTGACCTAAATAGTAATTTCCAAAGAAATAACAAATTTGATGTGCTTGGTGTATTTTTTCAATACATAGAATTCATAATTAACAAAAGATCATTTCTCCTGTAGATATAAAAAATGATTGAGTTAATTTAATAGTTTATATTTGCACTCATATATATTTCTCACTTGTCTGATGCAACAATCCCTGCATATGAGTAGGAAAACCATCAGTATGATCTCCATCCTAGAAATGAGGAACACGTGGTCAGAAGGGATAACTGACTACTCGAAGGCATCATAGCCTGGGAGAGTTTGGGAGACAGAACCCCAAACTATCCCTCAAAAATACTCCCATTGACTTTCCCTATTTAGCAGCAACAGCAAATAGTGTTTGAAAAATACCGAGCACAAAATTGGTTTGTGCAGTCTTTTCAACAGAAGTACTAGTTCTGAGTCACACTGCATTCTCATTTCTTCAGGGGAAAAATATTACCTTTGCTATGTGTAACAGTATTTCCTTATGCAGGCAGATCTGTCTAGGCAGCTTCAGTTTTATTTTTGGTCCATTTATGTAGCTTATGTTGCAAATAACTAGAATGAATCGATGATCAAAGATTAAAAGTTACAGTCATTGGAGAGATGTAATGTAGGATAAATCAGAGCTTCTGATTCTAATCAGTGTTTTGGTATTGGTATAAAATAATTTGCCTTAT